ATGTTTCCTTCTGTTTCTAAAACAGAAATATAAGAAAGGGAACAACACATCCTTTGTCTGCAATTAATTTGGAGTTATGGTTTATTAGCCTCAGCATTTCAGAATGAGTTTTCCAAAAATATTTTATAATTTTCCTATGAAGAGGAAGTCAAACACAACAGAAAAGGTTCTATTCCGCTGTGGATTGTAAGAAACAAAAGGCAGAAATGTGAAAATCTGCCACAGAGGGAGGGACCTCAAAAATTTACTGTATGTCACACAAGTGTCAAAAATTCGAGTACTCACGCATAATTTGAAATACATTTTTTTTTTAATGTATGTATGCTTACATACATATGCCTACATGTATTTTTGGGGCAAACTCCAGATTGAGTTCCCACAATATGGGAGGTGATAGCAAGAAGGAAATCTGCATGTGGGGACCCATCATTCCTGGTCACAGAGCAATCACAGCCCATCACCAAATGCTGCTCTTGGTTAGCATTGCCTGCATCAGTCACTGGCTTTACAATCACCCTCCACAGAAAAGTTATTTTACAATTTCCCAGCTATTTCCCAAGGCTTTAGAATGCCCTTTAGATATATTGTGTGGCTTTGCCCAAAGCAAACATGCACCTCAGGCTTGTGGACTATATTTCTTGCAGGGTTTCCTGGCTGCCATCACCTATTGATATTATTTGATTTGCAGCCGCTATTCAAAGCAAACAAACAAAATCTCACAACTTCTTAAACCTTCCTCCACCTAAGCCACTGATATTTACTGGGAGCTGGAGGGACAGTAAAGCTCTATTACACTTGTACTCTCCTGTCTTTAGAAATGAAAGCAAAGGTTTAGCAAGTTATTTCCTTATGATTTTTCAGCCGCCACTCTTAAGTTTCCTAGCTTTATCTCTGATATGGCTGATTCTTCTTCCCATGGCCATGAGCAGGAGGGACAGACCTCAGCAAAAATACCCGAAGCATTTTTCTCACCAATACCTCTGCCCAAAAAGTGTGCAGAGACTCAGCTGTTTGCAGAGCATCCAGTTCCCAACATGCTTGAAACAGCAGTGGGTGTTTCAGGTGTTAAATGTGTGGGCAGGGAGGGTATCCCAAAGCAGGGAGTCTCCCAAAGTGATGATGCCCTATGTTCACCTTCCCAGAGTCATGTTTGGCACAGAAAGGGCTTCCAGGCTGTCCCCAGGACCTGCTGACACCAATATCTCCTCCAGCTGTGGTCACATCAATGTTTCCTTTAGCTGAGAGCCAAACCCCTGCCCACAGCAGCATGTTCAGTTCAGATCTCCACCTCCTGCTCATTTTCCATGCGATATTTCTGGATGCTTCTGCCTTCTGCAGGAGGCTCTCTTCTCCCCAGCGAGCCCACAGGCTGCCCCTCCTTTCCCACACATTAACAGATGACTCTCAACACCCAGGCATTAACAGCAGCATTCCTGATGGCTTTGATGGAGACAGGCTTTTCCCCAAGGAACCTGCTCCATCACGCCACCAGAGTTACTCAAATGTCATTTTCACTTAGCAGATACAGCAGGTATTATTATCTGTTTGCTTTCAGCGTCAGAAAGGAGCTACTCAGTGTCTCTTTGCCACAACTTTCTGACACAAAATTGTTAAGTTAAAAAAAAAAAAAATAAAAGCTTTTGAGTCTCTAGTAAAGCAAACAAATGTTTATGTCTTAGCAACAGCTCCTTGCTATATTGAGTTGGTGGTAGTTCAAGAAGCAGCTCTTTGCAGGAAACTAAAGCACCAGGTACACCCAGCATTTAATTCCAACAGCTCTGGATAGAGAGCCACAAAATCTCACTGCAGAATGAGTCATAATGACCAGTTCCCTAAAAAGCCAGCTTTTTCTTTTTTCTTTTTTTTTTTTTTTCATGGGCCCCTTAAATACAATAGTAGGAGCAGTGCTGGATTAAATTAAATTTGTTCTCTTAATAAAACAAATATTTCCTTTTTAAGACAACCTAGTCTGCATAGCCCAGAGCAGCGGTGGTTCCATACTAGACAAGAATGTGGACATGAAGGGGGACAGCTGGGATGCTGAGCACTTCATGGCTGTCCATAAGCTTGACACCTGCACCTGAATTAAAAAAGAACAGGAAAATTTCTTCTGACTTGAATGTAGCTGCAGCCACCATAAGGTACAAGTGGGCATCTCTCAGATGGAGAACCAACAGGGTTCAGCAGTGCCTTCTTGTTGTTTTCTTTTAAATAACATTTTTATAATAAAGTCTGATTACACTGATGGCTTTATTCATTTATTTCTGCAGGAAAGCCAGTGGTAATTAACTCGCACCACAGCCTGCAATTTGCATGTTAAAGTTTACAATCACCCTGTCACGGGGCCATAATAAGCACCATTTTACAAGGGGAACTCGGTAATTGAGGGTTTGTTTTGCTCATGGCCCATGGCTGCAGAACCTGGGTGAGGCTTTTTGTGCCACCAAGGTCTGCTCTGTGCCAGGCAGGGAGCAGAACCCGTCAGGCTGGCTCCAGGGCAGTGACAGCCGATCAATTTGCCATCCTGCCCCTCAGTGACAGCCTGCCAGCACAGCTGAACCCAGGCACAGGTACACAAACCCACTCTGGCAGTGAACTCAGGGGAAAACACACCTTCAGAAGGGACTGTTTGAGACAGGGCTCCTTCAGGACCAAGCACGTGGCTTTTGTTCCAAATGCTGTTAAATTCTTTGTTAAATTCTCCTGAGGGATCTTGGAGGTGTCCCCCATGTCCCTCCCTGGCCTCTGCCAGGCCCATCTGCAGCATTCAACTCCTCTGGTGATGATGTGAGAGAACCTTTTCTAAAGTACTGCAAACAAAACCATGCAAGGGATGAAAAATAATTAGCCATGTGTCAGTGTCTGATATATTTGCATTGTTTAGACAGAGTAGTTAATCACTGGTAAGACCACAACATGTGGTGTGAATTTGGATTATAGCTAATACATATCAAGTAGAAGGCTATTAGTTACATCTAGAGACACTATTTGATATTATTATTATTGAGAAACTGAATGCAATTAATTACATTACAATGTCCTTGCAAGATTCCTGTGGCAAACAGCTCTTTGCTTTTAGATTCTTTTTCCTTTTGCTCAGACAGGAGCCAATTCAGGCAAGCAAAAGGCATCAGGAGCCAAGATTCTGTCCCCATTAACACTCCTGAAGCCTTGAGGGGTACTGGAGGGGTCAGCAAGGGTCTGCATTTTTTCAAGGGGTTTTAAATATAGGGTAAACTTTTCATTTTTGTAAAATAGTTGGTCTGCTGAAATGTCACCTCTTCCCTTGGGCTGGGAATTAGCAAAGGACAGTCTCCATGTGGTCTCCAGAAAGGACTTCTGAGGGAAGGAATTTGATCCCATATTTAATTAGAGGTGCAATATTTCCAAATGTTCCCTCTCTGAAATGTCTCTTACCTATAGGAAAGAAAAGCTTAGGGCACTACTTTCTTATTTAAAAAGGCAATTGTATTAATTCAGCAGAATTTTGCATTGGAATTGCAATGGCTTTGACAGTTTAGCTCCCTGAAAATTGCAATAAAGCCTTTGTTACGCTACATTTTGTCCCCATTTGTCTTGTGTACCATTGCCTTGCCTTTGGCACAATCAAAATAATCTTTAAAAATACTGCCATAAATGGATTGACTTTGACCTTCTGAGTATCTTGTCAATAAAATAAAAATGATAAATGTGTTTCAGAGTGCCACTGGCGCAATATTAAAGCAGAGTTACAATCTGAAAAGTGACATTTGAAAAATTAAGTTGTGGGGAGGGGTCTTATTCTCTGTCAGCAGTGCCACATAAATAAGCTCTATTTACAGTGAAAAGAGGTGATTTTGCTAACTGCCAGTTTGTGCAGTTCCTGTGATGTGGCCTCTGCCTCTTACATCATCATTAGCAATTAAAGATTTTTGCAGCAAGGAATTAGCTGAGCCTTCTGCTGCTGGGGCACAGAGAGAGCAGCTCCACCTCAGTCCCCTCCTGTGCCCACTCTGCAGTGCTAGTGTGGGGAAAAGGGACCTGGCCTCATCAGGGAATGGCTCAGAAAACCGAGAAAAGGCCATTTTTGCTCAGCTTTTTGGAGATAAACAACTTCTAACAGAATCACCCCAAGGCCTCTTTTTATTAGGTGAGAAGAAAAGAATTCAATATTCTGCAAAAGTCAAGAAATGTATGAAAATAAACAGGGCAGGTGAAAATAAATACACGTCAAGGGGCAGCAGGTTTGATTCAGAGTTTGAGATGCACAGACACAAGCCCTAATGTGCTTGGCTTTATGCCAAGCTCAAGTGAGTCTGACCTGTGACTTCAATATTTGCAAGTCTAACTTGAGCTGATTTCTCAAAACCCTTTGCCGTTGTTTTTATACCATTTCTTTTTTTTTTTTGTCTTTTCAACATTTCTTGTTCTCAATCTTCTCAGCACATATTTAAAAGCATGTGAAGAGCACTTTGTACTTGAGCATCAATTTATATCATGATTAAATTGTTCATGCGTGTAGTAAATGAAATTAAAACCCCATGTACTTTCAAAGGTCACAAGACTTTGGAACCTCAAAACACTTGATTTCTGAGGAGGAGACACTCAGATGTTAATCCCTAAAATTAGGCTGAAAACACCTTAAAAGGTGAAGGGGTTTGGTCCTCATTCAGATATGGGGAAAACGTAGATAACTAAGATCTTTATGTTACTAAGCTTCCACCTTTACATATTTAAATCCGGATTTGTTTCCCTTGAAAATTATCCCAATCCTAAAACGAATCAGAACATAAAAGGATATAGGATAGTCTTGGCTGGAAAAGACGGGTGTCTGCTAAGGAAGTTAGGAGCCTTCCTTCAAATGGAAAATGTAAACCTCCTTCTTCCAAATTATTAAAATTTTGAAATTAAGAGGCTCTCAGGCAAAGATGTGGGAATAGGAATAACAGTTCTTTACTAGGAAAATTAAAATACAAATGCAATAGTACAAAAAAAAAAAAAACAACAGTGACAGAGTCAGAATGTGTCCTGACTGTGCCCTCTGGTTATATCCAAGTAGGAATTCTTGGCTCCTCCCCCTGGGCGGAGCCTCTCCCCATGGGATGATGGAATTTTATCAGCCATGCAGGGACACTCACTGGCCCATGAACAGAAGATAATTAATAATTAATGGCCCATTAACAGAAGATAATTTGTCACTATAGGACACGAAAGAACACAAGCGCACACCACTGCTCTCAAGGTGAAGAAAAAATGGAAGTTTATTTTCTGACTCCAACATTTATAGTTTTCCAAAAATGGCAGTGGATTGGAGGGTGACAGTGCCACCTCTCCAATGGCAATGGACAAACCAACAGTCCATCAAATTTCTCCTCCTTCATAAAAGAATGCAAAACAATGAGTTATTTACAGAAACTGTGTGAGAAAGTTCGTTACAAGAATGTCAACATCAGAAGGCTTAGAAAATCTTAAAAAATCAGGGCGACAATAATTAATAATTAATGGCCCTTTAACAGAAGGTATTTCCCAGAGGGAGGATTGGTTGTGGAAGAGATAAAGAAAACTGCCCAGTGAACAGAAGATAGCTGCCCCATCTCTAACAAATAGGAATAGACTACACACACTTATTTCCAACCTAAGGCAAAGATTTAGGCAGCTATTAGTGGTGTCCAGAGGAATTAAAGTGATTAACTAATGACTCATTGCCCTCTCCATCCTCCCCAGCTCCCGAGTGCTGGCCGGGGGGACACCGCATCCTCCGCGACCCCCGCAGGAGCACCAGCTTCGACTCCCTGGAGCTGCAGAGGGCGGCCAGCCAGGAGCTGGTGTGTGACCACTCCTTGCCACCAGCATGGTACCGCCTCATGCTCGGCCAGCGGCCCGTGGAAATGCCCACCAGATGTGTCGAGGTCAGCAGAAACTGAGCTCACCCCTGGGGAGCTGCAATAAACCCTCTGGGGGGCTTTCCCTCCCCATCCCTCTCTGTGCTGTCCCAGGCTGTGTGTCCAGTGGGGATAGGGGGGTGTGTTGGAACCCAGGACATTCCTCTGGGTGCCCTGGAGGACTCAAGACCCTGGCAAGGGGCTCAGAGACCTTGGTACCCAGTCAAAGACACCTGTGCCTTCAATTTTAGCCCATGGAAACAATTACCAACTTTGTGTGAAGGTATACAAGCCACAAGAGTTTGAGTAGAATGATGGGAAATTTGTCACAAGGTGAAAAAGTAGAATTTTGGGGTTTTTAGAATGGAGGTTCAAGAGGCAAGATGGAGGAATCTGTGCATGTCCTGTCTTTCTTCTTCTTCTTCTTCTTCTTCTTCTTCTTCTTCTTCTTCTTCTTCTTCTTCTTCTTCTTCTTCTTCCCTATCTTCTGTTGTGATAGTGACACTTCTGGATTGGTTTAGAGTAGAGACAAACTGTCTAACATAGGTGATAGGTATTGGAAAATTATTGTAAATTATTGTAAATAAAATACACGTAGTTTTTAGTATAAAAAAAGAACACCACCCCAAGGGCAGTCAGTGTGCACCAACCTGCTGGACAGATCTCAGCAGGTCAGAGAAAGAATGTAATAGATAAGAGAAAATAAACAACCTTGAAAAGCAAAGCTGAGGAATCTCAACTTCTTCTTCGGTTGCAGGGCTGGGAAAAAAGACTCTTTAATACCTCAGGAGCCATTTCAGTAACAAAAAACCCAATAGGAAAAGCACTTGAATGGTGGTGATGATGATGATGATGATGATGATGGTGATGATAATAGTAATAATAATAATTACAAGAATAATGACAACAAAACCTCCACCATCACCATCAAAACCAACAACACCACTGTCACATGCAAGGGCATCAGTCAGAGACCAGGATCCACATGTAACAGCCAATATTCAGCCAGACTAGGAAATATAGCACAAAACCAGCTGTTTTCCCACTCCACAGAGAGATTTTTAGTAAACCATGTATGTTACCTCAAGCTGTGCTTTTTCCAAGCAACTCTATGGCTTTAAGAATGGATTCTGCAGCCTGTCTCTTCTCTCATGTAAATTATTATGAGTTAGGGACTTCTTCTGCTGATGAAATCAGAAGGGAAAAATAAGAAAAAATATTTAAAGTGATCTTTGGGGAAACTGAAGGAAGAGTTAAAGTTGAACCTCTTTCTGCATTGAATCAATTCTTGCATTCTTTAGTTTCATAAGTATGCTAATGGCTTTGTGGAGCAAAAAACCCTCCACCATTGTCTATAAAAGAGACAAAACAATAATTATCTGGTTTTATCTGTGTTTAATATGTATGACAATAATGTTTGACTTGCAATCATTGTTGCCAGAGCAACTTGAGCCCCTCACTAAAGTCACGGCCACCTCAAATATCTCAGCTTCAGGAGGTTAGCATAAATTCAAACATAAAGTTAAACAAAATTATTCAGAAAATAATAAACTAATTACCATAAATATTTTAAAAGATTAAATATTCAACCTAGAGTGCCAGGATCTTTGGTTTGGGGTGATTCTACTCTAGCTGGAGAGCCCTCTCAAAATTAGCAAAAATATTTTATATCCATTCAAACTGGACCTGTGAACTCATCACAACTGAAGTTCACCTTAATAATTTAACATTGAGTGAAATGTTAAGAGATAGTTGTTATTTCTGTAGAATTTTTAACACTTTGAATATATAAACTATAAATCTTATTGACATTAATTAAGTGGCAGGCTTATTATTTAAATATTAATTTCATTTGGCATCCTCAAATATCCCAATGCACTATGAAGTTTTCCAGGTTGCTCTAGAAGTGTACATATATATTCTATAATATTATTTAATTTTTCATTATATTTCAGCAATTCTGAGTGTGCAGCAATGCTCAGCTGTATGAGATTGCTTTCTAACAATGCATGCTTTTGTTTCTTTTAATCTCTTCTCTGGAGTTTTTCATTCAGGTTTGTGAAGGTATATTCATTAGTTTAGTTTCTTATCTTGTAACATAATTCTTGCCATTGGTTTCTTCATTATCCTCTGAATGACAGTAAATCTCTGCTTCACCATGCTGATGAAGGATTACATCTGTTAGATGTCAAAACTGAAAGAATACACTTCTTTTAGATCTTCACCTCTTAAATCTGCCTCTACATTCTATCTCTTCCACTTAATTAAATCATTGTTTGATTTGGTTTCCCATTTAATTTCAGCAAAACCTCTGGAACAAAATAATTTAAATTAATAACTGTGCAGCTTCCACTCCTTAATAAGCAGTTATTATTGGACATTCCAGTCTGGCTGGAGCGAGCTGATTTTAATTAAAAAAGTCAAAGACAAAACCCTGAACAGATAGAAGAGAAAAGAGACCAAATAAAGCCTGACAGTACGGCTGCAGAATTAAAAAGTACATTACTCCAGCACCTTGTAAAATATATACCCAGTGATAGCATGTTGATACTGGCCAGATACAATTAGCTGCTTATCAACAGATGAGATTAACTCCTTAATTCAGAGTGCTGGTAGGTAAGGATTCCTGTCACCCAGCTGAGCTCAGGAGGGATTTAAGCCATAATGGAGATTTGGAGTGTGGGGGAGAAGAGTGGGAGGACAAATGGCACGTGCTGGGGTGTGACAGTGTTCACAGGGGTCTCAGGTTCAGGGAAGAGACGAGGATCTGACTCCATGTTTCAGAAGGCTTGATTTACTATTTTATGGTATATATTACATTAAAACTATACTGAAAGAATAGAAGAAAAGGTTTTATCAGAAGGCTGGCTAAGCTAAGAATAGAATAGCAAAGAATGATAACAAAGGCAGCTCTCTTGGACTCTCTGTCCAAGCCAGCTGGGCTGTGATTGGCCATTAATTATAAACATCTAAGATGGACCAATCAAAGATCCACCTGTTGCATTCCACAGCAGCAGGTAATCATTGTTTACATTTTGTTCTTGAGGTCTCTCAGCTTCCCAGGAGGAAAAAATCCTAAGGAAAGGATTTTTCATGAAAAGACGTCTGCAACACGGGAGGGGAGCTCCCACAGCCTGACTCCTCCAGGCAGCCTCTCAGTGCCTGTGTTCTGAGCCTTGCCATGAAATAAACCTCCACAACAAAAACATGTCCCTGTCTGCACGTTGTTTCACAAGCACAGGGAGTGTTAGATTCACACAGGGGGCGTGTGAGAGCCCCAGAATGCTGCCCTGCCACAGCTCAGGGGCACAGCAAACTTTGCACTGGAAAACGAGCAGCAGCTCTTAAGGAGCTGCTTCTCATCCACCCATTTAATTAAAAAGGGGGGGGGGGAAAGGGAGAAAAAACAGAAGAAAACCCCACAAGCTACAAAGTAAGAAAAAGACAGAAGAAAAACCCAAAAGCTTTTATGTCAGACAAAATGAAAATATTAATTGCGTTCCTGAACTTGCCATGCCTTGAATCCAACTGCTGTCCATAAACTTATTCCTCCAGTGGCAAAAATGTTTTTGATTGAAGGAGCTTTCCAATTTAGGCTTTGCCAGCTGAATTTCTCAGGGCAGGTAACAAATGATCCTGACCTTCCTCCCTCTATTTCTTCCTTGCCTTTCCCCCCATGCTCCCAAAGGAGGCACAGCAATTATCAGATCCTGGACATGCACTCCTGGCCACAGCCACTTCCCTATCCAAAAATATATTGTAGTAGAAGTCCAGTAAAAATTTGCAAATTTTGGACCTTCCTGTGTTGAGGCTGCTGCTACAGATCACAGTTTGTTCTTCAAGAATTGCTAAATCTTCTGTGGAAGGCAAAAACACTGAATGAAAAAAAGTACAGTGGAGCTTTTACTAAGATTAAGGCAGTATATTAAGAAGCAGGAAACAATGCACAGACATGGCCAGACCATAGGAAAATGACCTTCAGAGGGAGAACAAAAGATGGAAAAATAAAAGCTCAACAGAAAATCTATTAAAAATACAAAGAAGTACTTAACAACCAATATGGGAAAACATACATCAATTACAGAAATTCCAGCTTCTGAATTCAAATAATACAGGGTATATGCATACACCTGGATACATGTACATATGGGCAAGCCCCGTGGGAGGCACAAACATTAAAAAGAAATGCGAGGGAACATCACACACTAATGTTATTGAAGCTCTGCTCCACAGTCAGATAAAAGATCAATCTGTGGATTACAGCAGAGCAGTGCACGCTGCTGCCTGTAATGCAAATTCAAGTGCCACACCACACTCACAGAAAAGCCAGAAATGGGCTGAAAATTCTCTTCTTCCTGTGGAGAAGTTCCACTGGCCCCAGGTGCTTGTCCTCACCAGCAGCTGAATGTATTTTCCTGGAGGGAATGGCAGGAAAGGGGAATAATTTCATTTTTTGCACATTAACAATCTCCAGCAACCCCTGGTTCAGAGACTTCTGGGTTCAGACACTTCTGGGTTGTTCAACTTTCTTGTGAGGGCAAGAGGAGGGGCAAGCACTGATCTCGGCTTTGTGGTGACAGTGACAGGACTTGAGGGAATGGCCTGAAATTGTGTCAGGTGAGGCTGAGGTTGGATATTAGGAGAAGGCTCTTTCCCAGAGGTGGTTGGGCAGTGAACAGCCTCCCCAGGGAAGTGGCCACAGCTCCAAGAACTGCAAGGAGTGATCCACAGGTCTTGGCAGAGCTCAGAAGTGTTTGAACAATGCTGGCAGGCTCTTGGTGTGACTCTTGGGGTTGTCCTGTGCAGGGCCAGCATTTGGACTCGATGATCCCTGTGAGTCCCTTCCAACCCCTCATGTTCTGTGATTTAAATTAATTTCTCTCCCATGTGCCAGCCCCATAACTGCAATTTTCTGGCACACACAATTCTGTATCAAGCTTCTCTATGGGCTACATATGGATATGAGACTCTGTTAGAGACATGTCCAATAACACCTGCCTGTGATGGGTTATCAAGATAACTTCCAA